CCATAATCAGCATCCATGCTCCTGTATTTGATGTGCAACTTATTTGTTATGGATCTTTAGAAGCTGCGAAAGAAAACTGGTTAAAGCAGCCTAAGAAGTGAGCTCTCTGGAAACTTATTGGCCCAGAGACAGATGGGAGCACAATCGCGGTCTCGGTCGCATCCCTCGCTGACCTGTCTGAAGCAATTGCTCAAAGACACTCCCTAATGAAAGAGCTGCCTGACTAGCTGGCACTCCAGACTAGCTGGTGCCGGAACAAATTACCCTCCGTTACTGCAAACTGTTTGCAGGTCTGCGTCCCCACCTCCTGCTGTGGCAATGTTCCTGTAAGGAATGATGCATTAAAACAATTGAAAGCCAGTCAGAAGCTTGCGCTATTCTTGGCAACTGACGTCAATTCTGAAGAAAGGACGAGCTTTTGTAATTCCCTTCATCTTCTCCATTTTTCCTAGGTAATCTAACCCTTCAGAAGCCACGCTGATGGACACGGATTCCAGGCACCTGGAATCTCTGCGGTCCACAGCCCTGGCTCAGGTAAACTCATGGCCAGTGCATTTTGCCTCACATCCTTTTTCACATTGACGAAAGGTATCGTTGTAGGTGCATTTTTAAAATTATATGAAATGTTTTTGGCTAAAAGTCTCTGTTCTCTGTTTCCACTAAGCACCATGCTTTTACAGACCCTCAGATGCTGTTTTGTGTGCCTCTAATTCTTTACTTCCAGTGGCTGCCTGATATCCCACTGTCGTGAGCATGCTGCATCCCCATCCATTCTCTTGGTGGTAGACAGGCGCAGTGACTCAGCACTACACAAACGTCAGTGCAGGAGAGTCTTTGCAAACGTCCTCTTGGGGATCATCTTTCTGGGCACCCATACAGGACTGGGATGGTTGGATCACAGGGTGTGCATGTGTTCCGCCTGAACCTTGGACTATCAGGCTACTCTCCCGAAAGGTGGCCCCAGCCCCAGCCTTACAAGCAGCAAATCTCCACTAACTCTTGGCATTATCCAGTTTTCTAATTGTTAATCTGCTAAGTGTAGTGTGAGATATGTTGGCTATTTTCATTTACATCGATCTAATTTTTATGGGTTTGAACATCTCTTCATTTGTTCCTTAGCCTTTCAGATGTTCCTGAATTGCTTTTTATCATATTCAACCTGGTTTCTTTCTTTTTCCTTCCTGATTTGCTGGAGTTCCTTGTTTAATCTAGGTATCAGTTCCTTGTTGCCTTTAAATAGTGTGCGTTTCTTCTCTTAACCTGTTATTTTTGTCCATGACTTCCTGTGTTGACTAGGAATTCTTTATTTTGATATAATCAAATTTCCCAATCCTTTTTTTTTTTTTTTGAGAGGTTGTTCACTATAGGGCGCGTGCGCTCGCCAGACAGACAGAGAGAGACAGAGACAGAAAGCGAGAAATCACCCCCCAGAGAGGATGGCCATGCCACAATCCCTTCTCCTCCATTCTCCTCTCGGGCTCTTGGGCATGCACACATATGCGCCCGGCGTGGGTTTTAAGCCACCGGGTCCGGGACGCGAACCGCGGTTGACTACGTGGGAGCCCAGCGACATAGCCATTACACTAACTGCTGGTCCCCACCCCCTTTTTTTAAGTTTCTTGCCAGAGGGTGCATGCATTCACGAGAGAGCGAGTGAGTGTGCACACAAGTATGAGCAAGTGAGGCAGAACCCCAGTGGGACATGATCATGCCGCAATCCCTTTTCCTCCTTTTCTCCACCCCTTCAATATCCTTGGCATGCACACAAATGTGCCCAGAATGTTTATCAAGCCACCAAGACT